TTGAGGGCATGTAATTATTTTAGTGGTTTGAAAGGTTTTAGTCGAAGGTAGATCTACAGAGTTTGGCCACCCCTGTCGTATGGTATAGTCACAAATCACAATATGGGTACCCATGTGTGCACTGCTTGTGTTCAAGAAACGAACGAAGAGCATCTGCTGCAGCGTTCGGGTTTCAAGGATTTTAAATGACATATATATTATATATATAACCAACCTATAATAATATAATCCCATTATTGTACAAAAACATACTATATATAGACATCTATTCAACCCCAAGCTGTATATTCAACCCCAAGCTACAGCAGTCAGGAAAAATAACGATATATTATGTAGTAGAATGTAGAATGTTTTATAAAACTACTGCGTAGAATGCCTGCCCACTGCGTAGTTATAATGTAGTTACAATAAAGTCTTTAAGAATAAAATAACTTTTGTCCTAATCAATATTTAAATTGTTTCTTTTTTTATGCAGTTTATATAGACGCTCGCTCTACAAGCGTGGAGAGTAATTTTGTATTTTTCTTTTTTAATTTTGAAAAAAAAAATGTTAATTTTGTAAAAATATATAAACTTATATAGTAGCCCGTGTGTAGTTTTTTTTTCTTCATATTTTCAATATATCCCTATAACTTCTAGGAACAATTCTTATCTACACGAAGACAAAAAGGACAAGTTGAAGGTAGCTAGAAAACCACAGACTGTCGTGTCGCACAATAGTATTGGCGATGAATAATTATAATTGTTAATTACTCCACTAACACGCAACATATTTGAAAATCCTTTCTCGTTGCAAGGTGAAAAAATGAGAAGAACCTCTATTCCAAATTTCGAGTTCGTACATAACGTAGTTTTTAAGAAACAGCGATCAGTGACTAAGTGGTATTTGGATTTTATATTTATAAATTATCATTATCTCCATCTTTTCAGTAATTCAGTGTATACCCACTGCAATCATCGCATCCGCCCACTCCCACCTCTTCCATTCGTTAAAATGTGAGGCACATCATGTGTATAATATAATATAATATATATTATATAATGGTTTATAAAACGAGTTTTAAAAGTGAAAGTATTTAATAAAATATAATGATAATTATAGGAACGAGTGACGTTTTAATAATATGTGCCTTCGGATTACATAATATATTTTCGTGTCGTCTCAACGAGCTTGTCTGCCACTTAAACCTCGCAGCGAACATTCGTAGGAATGTATGAGATGTTTCACAGTTGAAGTGCGGTGGGTAGAGGTGGCGGCGCGGCGTTTCTCTGACATTTGAAACTCGCCGCCGACGACGGAGTGAAACATGACAACGAAGACGACAAAAAAAAAAATATATTATACCAATGCCTATATAAAGAAGATCCGTATAGTATATTATTATTATATGTTTCAACAGTCACATTCCAACTACAACTACGCATCACGCCCATCTGCTCCATACCCACTCCGCACCCCTACCCACTCTTAGCTTTGAACATCACTATATGCAGTATGCACCCTCTGGCCCACACACGTCGTGTCGTGCCGGAAACGAGCGTAATATAATATCTTTACCGCCGCCGCCTCCGCCGTACAGGCACCGCCTCACGACGAAGGTTTTCGTTCGGATCGAAGATTTATTATACGTTTTAAACTTAAGTAGGCATGTACAGAATTTTTTTCTCTCGTTTCGTTTCCGTCACTCGACGTTTGTATATAATGGACTACGTGGAGATATTTACGGCAACATGCAGCTGCAGATAAAGAATGCACGCTACAGTGTCAACAATAATATGGACGTATAGCTAACACATTTGGGCTCAAAACGATATTTTCCCAGGAGAATATATTGGTAGAGATTAGAAAGTGATTGTGTACACCGAACAACGTGGAGATATTTAGTATTGCTTCCTAGGAAATTAATTACTATATTATGTAGAATACCTAATATAAATAAATTATAAAATATCTTTAGAAATAGAGACTGAAGCACTATACCCTCTCAAAACCGCTGTTATCATTGAATATTTGGAATTCAAACATATAACACACCCACAACAGCGACATAATAACCCTATAAATTACCCGAAAGCTATTAAAACAGTGATTTATTTAGTTAAACATATCATTATTCTTATATTCTATCAATATTTAAAATGTTTATTGGTAGCCGGTTGGTACCAATATATACTCATCCACGACTATTCTAATCCGCTATGTACACTAATATTTAAAATTTAGTATTTTAATACATAGGCAATTACCCTCAATAATATTATAATAGGTATAAAAAGGAAATAGCATAAAATTAACCTACATTTTTGAAAATGTAATAATTACATAACCATTACCAACATATAGTATTATATATTTATTCAATTATTTCAAATACTATGGTAAGAAAATTGTTTGATGAGAAATTGTAAATGTAGATACCTAAAAATTGATTTATAATGCATTGTTGACGATCCACCATACAAAATCTACTTATCGAATTGTAGAAACCATCTGTCCACTCCGCAGGTGTCCGGTTCACGGTTGTACTATACATTTTCTAAAATACGAATAACAGGATAGGAATATTGTGTGAATGGAATTTCCTACCCGACTTGACGACGACAATGTTTTCGTTAATAACACAGAAATGCATCAAATTTCAGAACCAATAATATTTTATATCATTATTGGCGCAATGATGTTTAACAAAAATAAAATATTTTTAACAAGTGGTTTTTCGCAATTAGGCAGCAGTGAATATTTCTCCATAATTCCCTCCCTATCACTAATCGTCATAATAGTTGTTCCCAAATTTTTAATAACAAGAGAGTGTTGAGCGAACGTCCCTCGTTTTTTTCAAACTGAACGTGAACGCGAAAAACGTTTATATTTCAATGAATTTGAGCGATTTTTAAGACGTTCAATTTATATGCCATTTAATCAATATATGTTCAAAATATATTGAATAATTATACTATACAATAATATTTCCTCATCATAATTCCAATTTTAAAAAAATTAAATGAAAGACCTAGTGAAAGCGGTAATCGGTCAAAAAGTCCGGGGACAAAAAGTCCGGGGACAAAAAGTCCGGAATGAAAAAAGTTGGACTAAAAGTCCGGATTTATTTTTTGATTGCCGGACAAAAAGTCCGAGTACATTTTTACTGTCGGACAAAAAGTCCGAAAATACAAAATTGTCTATTAAGTTTATACCTAATTATAATATAATACTATTTTTAAGTTATAATTATAAATATTTTTAGTTATATTTTTTTTATATATAGATATTATATACATGTAATATACATTTGTATTATACTTACCTACAGCAATCTTACAAATTAAATTTTCATAAACATTACGTTTGCCAATACAATAATAATAATAATAATAATAATAATTTGATATACAATACGTTTCCCTAAGAAATGATTGTCGATGTCAATACAATAATAATATTTTTTTAAAAAGTTATAAGTTTTAAAAAATCTAGTCTACAATAATAATTTCTATGTCAATAATAAAAAATCTAGTCTACAATAATAATTTCTATGTCAATAATAAAAAATCTAGTCTACATTTATAATAACAATAATAATTTAAAATACATTCCTTTTTCTTAAGCAATGACCAATCCTATTTAAAAATTCTGCTATTGTTAACTCGTTATTAACAATTTTCCTACATAAATATTGTAATTTTACATTTTTTTCTGTTCCGTGTTTTTTTTTTCTTACTGGTTCCATATCATGTAATGCTATTTTAGCTTTATCTACCCCCACTTCCTCACGAAATTTATTAATCAACTTCCAAATTGTTGGATGACTATGCCCGATTAAATGCGCAAATCTATTGTTCCAGCTTTCACAAATATTATTTGTACGGTGTCTGGAGTGTAATGTAGCCTCGTGTACGTTCCATGTTTCAGGGGGGTACAATGGCTTATTCCGTCTGAATTTTGAAACCCCGACTTTTCTATATGTTCCAGTAACATATGTGGAATCAAAATAATCAATTATATCCGTATTATCGGGTGCACAAATTGATTTTAAGTACTTCATGCCTTCAATCACTTTTTGCACCGGCAAAAAAGCTAAGCCATCGATCATACTACAATAATGGCTAAACACGTTGTCATGATTGTATTTATTTTGTAATCCTAACTCTTGTAATTTTCTATGAGTGCTTTGGCACAAATGATAAAAACAACCTTGTATTACAAAAACCTCCATTTCAACCTCCATCTCAACTAAATAGCGTCTCGGGATATACTGACAAAGTGACAAATTATCGTTATTACTTATTGTAGTATGTAGGTATAATCTTATGAGTTAGGTATGGTAGATAAACTGTTGACATACTGCCGCGATAAACATTAGATAGATATAGCCATATAGGAACCTACCTACCAAACTATAGTGGATTTCCGTTATATTTTTGTATATTTTTTGTCCGGCAATCAAAAAATAAATCCGGACTTTTAGTCCAACTTTTTTCATTCCGGACTTTTTGTCCCCGGACTTTTCGTCCGGGATTCGTTATAGATTCAAAAATTACTCGACCGATTTTCACAAAAATTTGGGAGATTGTTCTTAAAAATATCAGAAAAATTTGAAACACATTTAGAAATGATCCAAAAATAATAATAATAACAATAATTAATAATCTAAATAATCATTTAGTAATAGTTACTATTACGGTTTAATATGCTGAGTTACACTGAAACTGATATACACCAATATAATGCCGTGTTTTATATTAATTGTTCATTTTTTCACCGTCAAAGTCGGGTTAAGTATTGGTTAAGTAGTTATAGTTCTTATAATAAATTATATCTACTTGATATTTCTGCTTGTATTTTGGCCGAACAGAAGTAGATATGCATAAATATATTATTTTAATATTGTGTGGCAGAGGAGAGTACTGGCGGTACAAGTCTATCATGTGATATATGAAGTGGGTGGTGGGGACTACCACCACCACTGCCATTCAGGCTGCCTATAAAATGGCTTACGAAGAGTCTATCACAACCATTGTGCGATCCGTATACCTACTCACCGCTGTTTCCAATTTACTACCCGTCTTGTACTTTTCTCTCATCCATTCTGATATTTTAATTTTGTTATAACCGTTTAATAATCCATCATCCTGAATTTACAGACACGCAACGTCATAATGAAGTCGAAAGTAGTTATAGCGACGATTTGCACCATTTTCATTACTTACAGCGATGCAGAACTCAAACTAACGAATCAGGATTTTCTAGGATGTAAGTACCTACTTATATTAATTTTCAAATTTTGGTATTAAGGTAGTAGAATTTAATTCCTAATATAATTCAGCTTATGACTGGTCTTTTAGTTTTTTTAAAACTTTTTTTTTATATTACATTTCACTCGTCATTATTGTTATAATTGTTTGGCTTTTTAATCTGTTTAATATAATAACTGCGATTAGCACAATTAATTTTTTCGGTTTTAAAAAAATTGTTTGACTGGTATTTTTATTTTATAAACTAGGCGACTGTGGGTAATTTATATTTTGTCCATGCTGTTCCATACGCGGCAAAACACAAGCTGTTCTGTTTTTCGCCGCATACGGTGCTATAATAAAACAATAATTGTAATCCTATTGACATTAACGATAAAAGTATTTGTGTTTATTTCAGTATTCTTATCTAAGTAGGTTCTAGTTTTAAATATTAAATGCCAAATTCAAACGAGTATACGAAGTAGGTATATTGTTATGTATTTTCGTTTGTCTCCCTCTTGCATAAACGAATTATAATAGTATTGAATGCGCTTCATTCCCTCCACGGCCACATCAGTATTAGAACTCCACAATTGTATGATGATCGCCAAAGTAAAATTATTATGTTTTATAATATTTTTGTTCGTGTACTGTTATAAGTTATAGTTATATACTTATAACTAATATAGTTGTTACTACAAAACAATGAAACACGTCCGACTTTCAGAAAATGTGTAGATACTTTGAAAGTATCTTAAGTTAGTAGTCAAATAGTAGAATCATAGGACTATTGGGTAGGAATAATTGTATTTTTTGAATAAAATATATCTTAATTTTAACTAGATAAAATGATTGATTAACTATATTTATCTAGATAAAAATAAAATCTAGTTATATCTAAGTATATCTAGGTAAAATATTTGTAGTATATCAGATATATTTACCTAGATACAAATTTAGTTGTCTTCACTCAACACTGGTTGTATGATAACATTTTTTAAAATATCTTCCTACTTAACTTATTAGTTTTAACTTTATGCAGACTTGTATTTACAATACTAGTAGCTAGTATCTCCCTTGTTTCATATTGTAGTTAAATAATTATAAAAAAATTGAAATACAGTCAGATCATACTTAAAAATAGTTACTTGAATAGATTTTAATGATTTCAATCAGTAAAGGAACACTAGGTATATCATTTGATAGTTCTATCCAGTTTCATTTTTAACATGTCACCTCCAACCCATTATAACTTGAAACCTAAACTAATTAGTAATTTCTTCGATGTCCTATGTGTTACAGTCAGTCCATTAATGGATAATACCATAGACGTGTGTGGTTTTTCGGCAGAAATCTCGAATTATTCTGTGAAAGGAGTGAGTTTGGATTCAAAGAAGATTGGAGGTTGTGCCTACACCAACTACACAAAAAATGGTATGGAGGTGAAAAAATCATTTAACGTGTGGCTAAGCGATTTGCAGAGTGGCAAGCAACAATGCGGTGTAGAGGGTAAGTGTAACAAATTATTATTTTAGAAGGTTTCAGGAGTCTATGAAAGCTAGCCCAGCTTAATAACAGTAAAGTATAAACCTATTAAACTGCATGTATATTAAAAACATTGTTAACTAAAATGTTTCATTTGAAATTCATAATGCCCGGTATATACCTATGTCAGTATGTTACATCCAACATTTACCAGACCAATCTTTATTACTCTTTAACTTATCACAAAAAAATAAGATACAACAATACTACAGATGTATTTATTTAAGAATATTCATTTAAGTTAGAAACTGAAGTAATACTTATACAATTTAAAAAAAATAACAATGAATAAAATTTGAATGTACACCCATAATATATAGCAAATTTTTTTGGGAATTTTAATCTCAAATCATTTTGTTAGAATTAGTAAAGTATTAATACACCTACTAAAAATAAGCATAACAGTTAATCCACAGCACCCAATATTTTATGTCTATTTCAAATGCACTATTTGATATCCCTACCCACAATCGGTAATAACACCCTGGCAAAGTACTCCATATCCACTGAATATTGTAGTATTGCAGTGTTTAAATTTATTTAAAATCTAACCCTGATGAATATTTAATGAGTCGTAGAAGTACAGCCAACACTTATTACAATGAATTATAACGTATAAATATGATTTAAGAATATCTTACTATGCCCCCATTTGTCGAGTATATTAATATTGTTCTGTCGTCTGCGGACGAATTTGCAGGTATGGAACAAACCATTTTTTCATGCTTGGGAAAGCCCATATTTCTAAAAAGTAACAATTTTGGAACTCAGTATGCACGTCTAAACGGCCGAGTTATCAACAAGAATGGAACAGACAGTAACAGATGTGCCGTAAGTATATTATAACTAAAAATTTGATTTGAAACTGGTGCATCTGAATACATATTTAATTTCATTATTTAATTAACTAATTAATTAAAGACCAATTATTTTCTTTTTAAATTCTATATAATCAATTTAAATATATTTTTAGATTTCCAACTACATTACTTTATACTCTGTCTCAAAATATAAGAATAGATAATCTTAGATATGCGGCAGGCAAATGCGCAAAGTGGTGGTAAATGGTAATGGTTATGAGCATAATTTTTACAGTGGTCCTCGCTAAAATCAGTCACCACCTGAGATAATCTTATTTGAGACGGAGTATTATCTACTTCATATAGATCTGTTGAGAAGTCAATATTTTACTAGGTTAATCAACAATAAAATTAAGTATAAGTATATTATTTTCATAATATAACATATATTTATGTACTTGCGAAAAATAAATAATATTAATAATTTAGTATTTTTTTCACTCATCTTTGAATTTTATGATACACATTTCTTATTAAACTATGTAGGTATAACATGGTTAACAAAACGTATTATTTTCAATTTAATTGTAATTTACAATTTAAAAATTGGTTACATGATAAATTTATTTTCCAATCTCTGCAGTTATACCTACACTAGGTACCTAGGTATAGCATTTGACAATTTTCATTTGATTTTTTTTGATAAATGTTAAGAAACATTTCAAACATTAATTTGTATGATATTATAATAATAATTGATACTTTAATAATTATGAATTATATGTGTATTTAAAACGTACCAAAGACAATTTTATGTAATTTTAAGCTGGCAACAGAAATATTTCATTTGAATCCGAATGTCTACACACTTGTTTGAGCTATCTTACATAATATGATGTGGTTGATTAATTGTTTTCTGTTTTTCTGTTTTTCTCTTTCTCGTGTACTGAAGTTACTTGAGAAGGAAATAGGTAGCTACAAGAAGTATCGGTTGGTGATTAGCGGGGACAATTCATGCACCGGCATGTCAAGCTATTTCACTGATACTTATCCGAGGATCCAGAAAGGATACAAGTTGCTGCGATTCTTCGGAGAACCGAAATACCAATTTAGATTCAAGCGGTCAATATCGAATTCAACTTCCACTATTAAAAACGAGAACTGGTTCTATATGTGGATGTTGGGTTGATAGGTTCTAAATAGCTTATTAATCCCTAACAATAATAATTTCTGTATTTTTTTTTTAAATTTTTTTTTGACATCTTTTTTCTTTTTAAATGGAGTTTTTACTTCTTAAATAAATAAATAAATAAATAATTATTCAAATAAAAACTTTCAAAATATAAATCAATTGTGTATTTTGTTAATATTGTAGTTGTCAGTAGATAAACTTCCAGTATCCTTTCATTTTTTATAAAATAAGTGTACCTTCCATGCAGGTTCAATTGTATATCGGTATTTTTCTTTTCATTATAATTATTATTCTAAAATAAATTATTTAATATAATGCAAAACCTAATAAAAAAATATATGCCAGGTAGGTATTTGTTATTTGAAGTTATCAAATTATAATCAAATAAAATTTAAAACATATATATTTAAAATTTGTATGTGAGATTTAATAATATAGAACTTATAGGGTCGTCATAAAATTGAATAATACAATTTTATAATATCTAATTAAGTATAAATTTTTCACGAAATGGACACAAGAATATAACAGTAAGGGACAGGTAAACTACTCTCCACTTATTTTCCAGTTTTCACTCTGCCTTACATACTGCATATATATAAAGTTCCACAGTTTTATCGGTTCAATTTAAGATTTATATGACCGTACATTCTCGTATAAAAACAAAGTTAAGATATAAATGCACAACTATATATAGTGAACTTGTGGAGTATAAAAGGTTTCAAAAATAATAATAAAAAGTATAATATAACAGGATTTAAATAATTGATCAAATACAAATAGAAGTGAAATGTATCAACTATAAAATTTAAATAAGTAACAAAAGTTAATTGAGTTTGCATCATTGTTCCGCGAACAAATCAGATTGATGGGTAGGTAGGTACCTACTGTATGTTAACACACATATGTGATCTACCTATAGAACTATAAAATAAGTTATAAACACCCATCGAGTTTCAAGTTATTTATTGACTTTTATTAAAAACGTATTTTTATTTTGTTACACTTACTTTTGTAGTTTTGCGCTGTAAGTGACTTTTAAATCGGAAAAATAAATCAGAATTTTGTACAATGTAGGTACTAATACGATGAATATTGATAAGGACCGATATTTGTATACAATAATAATAATAATATTATAGTTGTATATAAAATAAAGATTAACAATATCAATAATACTAAGACAAAAATTCGTAAATTCATAACAAAATAATGAACAATTCATACAAACTACAAACACTACTATAATATTTTAGACTTAATATGTTTCACCATAAAATTGTTTATTCTATTAATTAGCAAAACTGCACAATAGATTTTTTATAGGTGCTAACCTCCTCCTATTGTTATGAAGTTATTCTTATACACTAATAATATTATAATATATTATTGGAGTAGACATACAAAATGGTACCTACTAACTAATATTATCTAAAATAACTAGCAATTTGTGGACCACCATGGCCATCACTGCTTCCACTAAGACCATAATGGACTCAATGGATGGAAACAGCTTTGTACTTTGATTATTATATAAAACTAAAAAAGTATTCAAAAGTGTGAAGGCTGTTATCGTGCCGGACTTGGAGCATGAGATCACCACTCACAAGTCACAATGCTTACAGTTGAACTTGTTGCAATAACTTATTCAAACGTCAAAATGTATAATGGAAACAGTGGCATGTAACACAAGGTACAAGTGTTGCTCAAGCAACACCTTAAATATGGGTGGATGGGTATTGAATATTGATAGAAGAAAAATAGGACATTTATAGGTCGGTATAACAGCTGTGTGTTGAGGGATAGGTTATCTAAATTTATTTGAGCAACACCTATTTTTTTTATGATATACGCCACTGATATGTGTATATGTATACAATTTGCAAGTTTATTTTAATTAATAACTAATTTTCCGCTCAACTTTCTCAATTTTTTTAGTAGAACTTGGTATTTTTTTTTCATTTTTTTTAATCGGGTAAATCAGGTTTAAGATTCTATCAAATTGAATTTCAGTACATTACCTACCAAGGTGGCTGTCGGCTGAGTTACACTTATAGCCGCTCATCAACATGTACACAATCAAAATAATTAATAAAATTAAAATTAAACATATTATTCATATAGAGTGTAAAAATAGCAGTGCCCGCAATCCACCGCAGGTAGATAGCCTACCTAATTATATACTGTTCAAATTATCACAAGCGAGACTCATATAGAGTTGGCATTTTTAAAAGACAGTGAAGTGCAAGGGATCAGCTGGAAAATATATAATATTGATGCAATATATCTTTGTTTCGACACGACACTATGAAGGCGGTTCATTTGTCCACTGCCGATCGTACGTAGCACCGGCTGCGACCACTATATTTATGACGTAGGAATACTTGCAAGGTTTACTAGGTATAGGTAATCATTTGGTGTAAAATATGTCCAAAGTTTCTAACGTTATCGTTTTTGAATCACAGCAAAATAAGAAAATCATGTAGTGAGAATTCGTTTTTTACTCCGAAATATCGAATTTCATAAAAATTCAAATATTGGACTGTCATATTATTAAGTATTTGTTTAATTCCAGAGTTCTGTAATTTCGCGGAAAATATAGCATTGATTAGTACACCATTTATGTTTAATTATTATAGTAGTATATTATATTTATATCATAATATACTATTGTTATTCTTTTGAGTCCATTTACCGACTCACCGTAGATGAGTGTAAACAGAGTAGTTAATATTATTAATCACCATTAAAAGGACTGCACATTTAGACTTTATCGCGTCAGCTATTATAAACTTGTGTTAAACGTAAATAATAGTAGACAAATATTAATCTCTACTTTTTTCTTATACGATAATATAATGTTTTTGCAAAGGTATGGATGCGCCGGTGTGGGTGTGGCGATACATGTGTGACGACTACACCTGCCTAAATACGTTCTTAGCTGACGCGTAGCGTCAGGAGGTATATGGAAGCGAAAAGTTTTATTGGTTTTAAGTATTAGGAAAACAACAGTACTGATTTCGGTTGTCGAGTGTGTTCATTAAAAACTATTCTAGAAGCCGAAGTGCGACACTGTGCTACAGAGTCGTTGGCCTATGGCCTATCTATCAGCGATATCAGGCCTCTCTATCAGTCGTTCGTAGAGTGGGTCGATGGATTCGGTGGTCGATCGAGTGTCGTGGAGTACAACCCACAAAATATTGAGTCTGGTGGAGACGTATTGACGCGGTGAGTAAAGAGAACGATGGGTGGGTTGGTCGTTGGCTAGGGACTCGAGATCATTATTATAAGGAAAATATACATAAATATCACAGAAGCTTCTTTATAGTATCACTATATAATTCTATATACTATTTTAATAGGTACTTGTTAAAATTTAATACAATTTTGTACAGTTATTACTTTTCAAATTAATGAGTCTTATAAAGAATAAGCTACTTGATTTCGTTAAGTATTTTTACAATCAAAAGTTTTCTAAGATTCAGATTTTTGAAATATTACTTATTTTAAATTTTTCAAAAAAAAAACAATTAAACCAGAATTCAAAGTATTTATTTTTAGAGTTACAAAATAGTAATTAAAACGTTATACTATACGTATATAACAAGTACAATTGGTTAATTATGAATATAAAAATAAATAAAAAAATATTGATTAAAACAAAAGTTATTTCTTTGGTTGGTGCTGAACTTGTCCACTGCGTAAGTCCCCCAGCAATTTTGTGTTGTGTGAGAGGCAGCCCAGGTCGTCCAGGTCAGAGTTCTCTCACCACCTCAGCCTACTGTGTTCACCATCGTAAGGCGTCAGTAGTTGATAAGGTAGTTTTAAGCAATTAGTCCTGATTTTATGTGAGCTCTGCTGTCATTGCACTAGACCGACTCGATCGCAGAGACCCTCCCCGCTACCTAACCATCATTTACCTACTTCCCGTGTTATGTACTCGCCGCCGTCGTCGTCGTGTGCATCAGGTTGCATACCTACATCAAATCAAGGCAAGTATTATTTAATTTAAAAATGAAAATTTAACACTGATCTCGAAAGTGGGCCCCCTGTGTTGGGCGTCTACACCTACTCTATTCTACCTTATTATTTTTTTTTTCACTCGTGGTTTAAGCACAGAACACAAGAAAACTAGAAAAAATAAGACTGCTAGACATAATGCTATAAAAATATTATTTTAAAATGCCCAAGTTACAAACTATAGAATACACCGATTACATTTTAATAACTATTTTGTAATTTATTTTGTTGGTATTCGGTATTTTGTTACCGTACCAGACACCTTTTTTGCGTTTTTATCAACTATTCTTAGATATTAAAAAACGATGAAGTCAGAATTTAGCCGCCGGACTTAATTATGAAATGTTTTATTTATATTATAGGCGGATGTATAATATCGTGTTTGTATGAATATAAGCCGTTCGTCTGTACCATGGTACTGTGCTATAGTCTATTTTATCTTATTTTATTTTTGTTTCACTCGCGATAACAAGCACAGAACACTAGAAAACTAGTGTAAGTAAGACTGCTAGACTCAATGTTATAAAAGTATTTAATTTCAATTTGTATACATTTATCACTCGCGTAATTCATAAAAAAACATTATTTCCTTAAGTAAGTTAGTAATTTTTATTATTTCACAAAATATCATACAAAGTTTTTAAGTTAAATATAATGTACAATAATTTGTCTCCAAAAGCAAAGCTTGAGTAGGAAACAAGAGTTCTAAATTAAGTTAACTCATATATATAAAGATGCGATTACCCAAAGTATTAGGCAATAAAAATCTTTTAAGGGATTTAAATATTAGACTCTTAATTTTCTTAACCGTTACTGCAATATCAATATCCTATTTTAAAAACTTCATGCTAGTAGTCTAATTATGTTCTACATATTTTGTATTCTTATTGACTAATTTGGTATTATATTTTTAATTTGTAGTAAAAAAACGAAAACATATAAAGACAACTTCAAAAGTGAATCAAAACAAAAATGGATAACCGTTAGTCATAACAAGTCATTACAAAGAACAACAACCTCAAATATCCTTAGAATTCGATTGAAGTGTTATTCAACTTCCACTAT